ACCAACGGTAATTCACTTCATGCAACACTTTGTCCTAAACTTGTATCACAAAAAGGAGGTGGCGAGGTACAGCTTTGCTGAGGGAGCACCTCTCTCTATGGTAACACTGCTAATGTGAATCGATGGCAAACACGGAATGTCACAGGTTTTGCAGGTGTCGTAAGTTTTAATTAAATGACAAAACCATGAGTCATTTTGAGGGGACTCTGAAACCTTCCATCAGAAGCTTTCTCACAGTGCAGTTAGTTTTCAGAAAAAAGTATTTTGCGTGCCAAGGTCCTGTTCAGGAAAGAATTTCATTTCATGTTGAATCAATCCCTGTTCATCCAAACAAGCTGGACTTTGGCAGGGCTCATTAAATGTTTGGCTAAACTGGGGTCAGTGGTTGATGTGTCTATTTTAACTAGCAAAGTAAAGTATTTCTTACCCATGCCATTTTGGAGGGTTTGGCAGAATATGGAGGGTTTAACTAAGAAAGACTAATAAGAAGCACTGTGTTGAGGCAGAAAAAACCCCTCTTTTCTATCAATTTGACTCCACACTAGTTCAAATTTAAAAAATCCCCAGCCTTTCACAACAAGTCTCTAACTATGAATGAATTTATTGCCTTGTCTTTGCATACCTACCTAGCTGACAAAAATGATGAAAAACAGCCATACCTAATGTGCTGTTTATGTTTCAGTCATTTGCCAACCTCTATGGAGTTCACCCTTTCTATATGTGTGTAGAAGCCGACTCCAATGCCCATGGTGTTCTCCTTCTGAACTCCAATGCACAAGGTAAAAAGATATATGAATTCTCTATATGGACTACATATAGAAAGATGGTAAATTAGTAAATATAAAAAACTGTTTTACTGATTGCTTTTTCAATGTGACAGAAATATGAGTGACTGTTCCGTAACTGAAGTTCCAGGAGTTACTATAAAGTTTTCAAAGGGATTTCATTAGAATGACTGTTTAACAAGGTAAGGTATTTTCAGTGAAAATATGTATTTCCTTTTTTTTTTTTAAATAAATGCACATAGAGGGAAAAGAGAAGGTGGAAGAAATTTCCTCTGGGATTGGCATAACTGAATCAAATCAATTTAGGTTAGTCCTATATTCTGTCTGTGAAGAACAGTTTTGTGCGTTGCCATGGTCACCTTACTGTATTAATCCAGTGGTATAATTTCGGAAAAGGGGAATCTTCACTCAGTCTATAAAATCAGTTTCCCCTGGCAGGCAATGACTTCCAATAAGAAGATTAAAATAGCATAGAGGAACCCTAAACACAAGCTTGTGGTTCCTTTTTATATAAATGAAACTGAGACAAATGGATCTGTGCAATCTACTCTGTGTGGGTTTCTGTGATTTATTGCTGCACAATGCCAATCTGAAAGTAGAGATTACAGAAACACTGGGCAACTGCTAGCCTCTGTATAGGTCCTGTTTGCTCAGCCGATCGTACCCACAAGGCATCGGGTAGTGACTTGAATGTGTAGCCACCTCTGTCTGGGGATACATTTATGCATGGAAGAGCCCAGTGCGCATGCATCTAGAATAGGATAGGATAAGATAGAATAGAATGGAATAGACTATTTCAGTTGGAAGGGACCTACAACGATCATCTAGTTCAACTGCCTGACCACTTCAGGGCTGACAAAAAGTTAAAGCATGTTATTAAGAGCATTGTCCAAATGCCTCTTAAACACTGACAGACTTGGGGCATCGACCACCTCTCTAGGAAGCCTGTTCCAGTGTTTGACCACCCTCTCAGTAAAAAAATGCTTCCTAATGTCCAGTCTGAACCTCCTCTGATGCAGCCTTGAACTATTCCCACGCATAGTGCAGAGTTTGTACTGAGAACCTGTTTTTTTCCTTTCAGATGTTTCTCTGAGTCCAAATCCATCCCTAACTTTCCGCACTATTGGGGGGATCCTTGACTTCTATGACTTTCTTGGACCAACTCCCGAAAATGTAATTCAGCAATACACAGAGGTTAGTAGAGAAGTGCAGATGGCACACGGGGCAGTACCTTGTAACGAACTCCCGTCAGTATCTGGTAGTATCAGCAGGTAGCGCAGCCAAAGCTTTGTCCGGATCTGTTCATACAAAGCCGCAGCTTCAGGTCCATGGGCAACCTGGTGTGTGCTCAAGCATCAGCGAACGGTCTGTCTGAGTGTAGCAGACTGGCTGGGCGTTCAATGCACATCTTCAGCCTTTCCTGCAGTGTTTCAGTAACGAAAGCAGGAGTGCATTAAAGGGATGCAATGATTAGAAAGAAATTTGTCCAAGCTTACTCTTCTCTGAGCCGTGATAGTTTTACAGTCTTCACTACATGACCATAAGTGTGTTTTGACACTGTGGATGGTGTAAACAAACTAGGCAGAACACAGATGAGAATGTTTGGGAACTTTACATCTGCTGGATGTTGAATGAACTTCAAAGGCTTCAAGCCTTTATTTGCCAGTGGAATTGCCTGTTGATTTTGGAGCCGTCAGCCTGTTTTTTACTAATGAAAATCCATGTAATTGCATTGGAGAGCATAGATGTGAAAAAAAACCATGTTTACTGCTGTCTCACAGAGCATAACTACTTGTTTTCCAGTTGCCCAGTGTTTTCCAAAGAACTGAGAGTACACATGCAAATAGCTGTTTTGGGAGTGTACATGCAATTCTTACCCAGTGAGGGCTGCCCAGAAAAAAGTAACAGGTAACATGTTCTTCCTGGTCACCAAATGCCAGGTGATGCATTAACTGGGCCCTTGCACAGAAAATTGCCACCTCAGAACCAAGCTTTGTATATAAAGAAACCAGTGCCAAGCCTAAAGAGTGTGGAGCAAAGCTGAGAAGGGGCAAGTCACTGTGAGAAGGGGGATTCATGTGTGCAGACCCTGAGGATTAAGCTGCAACCAGAGGTGCCGAGCAGCCTGCGGTAGGGCATCCCGGAGCCGGGCAGCTGGAGCTCGCAGTGAGATGGGCATGTGCTCTGCCTTCCCCTCCACCACCCCAAGGGGAGGGGGGCCTGAGCTTTGATTTTCAGCAAACGTTTTGTCTTTCCTGGCTTTTTAAAGCCTCCATATCCTATGCTTGCCTTCTTTTAAAGTGCCTGAAAATGGGAACGGGAATATTGTGGTTTGGACGGAAGGAAAAAGAGGATTTAGCCCAGAAGGAAAGTATTGCTGGGTTCTGTTTTGGTGATGGAAGGGAGAAACAGCCTTGCTCATGTTGCTGTTTGGGGAAGGCTGGAGCCTCCCCAGGGTGGTAGGCTCTGCTAGACCTTCCTTTTCCAAGCAGAGGTTCAGATGGTGCCTCCCAGAGAGGTGGGAGCATGCCAGTGCCCCTCCACGTCCCGGAGCGGGAGAGACTGCTCTGTGGCTCAGAGATTTCCAGCTCCCTCTGTACATCTCCCTCACCAGCCACTTCCATCCCCGGTGCCACAGACCAACCAGCAAACTGGGTTTTGAACTTACACGTTGGCAATCAAACAAAAAAAAAACCCAACCAAACCCAAACCAAAGAAAGAAAAAGTAAAGTGACTTTCCCCCTAGCCACAGCTTTGATCCCAATGATGAAAGCACCTATTTCAGGGGAGTCACTGCAGCAGCATGATGGAGATTACAGCCATCCCCGTTTCTTTTCAAAGTCTTTCGCTGGTGTTTGAAGGCAGCATTTCTGTGGCTTAGCAGGTGGCCAGCAGCTGAAAATAAAATGAGAGAGTTTTCACTCCCCAGCTGATGGGTACTGGCAGCTCACTTTCCACCCCTGCCTCTCTGGAAATGGAGCTGGAGCAAAGAAAACAAGGTAAAGGGGAGCCGGTGGGCGTCTCCTAACTAGACATGTCACATGCCAGGACAAAAAATCCCCTGTTCTGTATTCTTCGAGCTTGCGCTCAGCTCTCTAGGGAATCTTAAAGAATGCATGGTAGCAATTTCATAGTGAAATAATAATTTCTTCAGTAAACATCCTGAAATTCCCGGATCGCAAATGTTACAATTACCATATTATTAGTCCCTAGGGTAATGATTTGGCTTTTATGCACAAGATATGTGGGAAGGTGAAGGAGATAGAAAAGACTTTATTTTTCAATTGTATTTTCTGTCACACCGAGAGGACTTTCCTGCGCAGTCATTGTCACACCCCGGGGAAGGAGAGGGGGTGGAAAGGAGCAGTGTGACCGATGTCTGCAAGGCACCGCTTAGCAGCATCCCTCAGCTCTCTTGGCTGTTTGCATGGGTCTCCTCTGGGAAGTGGTGTTTTGGGAGCTCCCAGCTGCAGGGAACACTGGTGGGACCAGGCTGCCCTGCTGCAACGAGCTCCTTGGGGGAAGAGCACCCCCCTCCCAGCTGTGTAAGCATCTGCCCAAAATCACTGCATGGGGCTTTTTGCAGGGACCACCCATTGCATCCTCTTCAGGGTGGGCCCAGTGGTATGGCAGGGTGGCCAGGTGCCAGCCAGTGTATGGCTGTTCAGAGCAAGGCAGCTGTGTCCAGAGCAAAGTGCTCCAAACCTTTCTCAAACATTTTGTGCTGTTGCCACTTCAAAACCTGAGGAACCCCCCTGGCCCCCGCCGTGCTTGTTTCTGTGAAAGATTTAGGAGCTTAGCTTTTATGCAGCTCACTCCAAACCAGTGAGTAAGGAAAGCTTTGTAACGAAGCTCTATACTGGGACTCTGGAGTACATAAGCTTTCCCCATGCACCTCTCCAGGTTGCTGCCAGCACCCAGGGGTGGCCCACAGGCTCTTGCCCAGAGCCACTGCTGCGTGGCCAGCTGTGCCAAGACAGCCAGGCTGTGCCAAGAGGGGGGGCTCCCTGCATGGTGATCAGGGATGATTGCGGCTGCCCTGCCAGGGCCACCAGCCTCTCTGTGCATCCGCGGGGCAAGGACAGGTGGCAGCGAAAGCCGTGGTGGCCCCAGGTGCCAGCCTGGCCTAGGCTAATCTGCTTTAAATGGGCTCCAAGGGCGATGCAGGGAGTGGGAAAGGAGCAGAGGGCTGAGTGCCAGTGCCTCCGTCCCCCCTGCGGTGTCCTGCACAGAGCAGAGGTGGGCTGTAGGACGCATCCTGCCAGTGGCACCACAGGGCTGCAGCACTGATGGCAGCAATAGGGCATGTGCTGGGCATCGTGCAAGGGGAAGGAGAAATCTCCATCCCGATTCTTCTGCTCCCTCCTGTCCCTGAGCCCGGCCGCGAGGAGCACTGCTCCTGGCACATCAGAGACGGTCCTGCCACAGCTGTATATGTAATTGACAGTAATCACACTTTTCTCCTACTACAGAAGAGGTCCAGTGTGCGGAACAGTTACATAACACAAATCTCACTTTTTACGGCAAACACCTCGGTTTGCAGGAGGATGGGAAAAAGCAGTAACAAGCTAAAGAGCCTAGCTGAGGGTCTACAGCCAGACCTAATACCAGACCACCGTTGCCAAGTCCACTGGTGGCCTTTCAGGACAGAGTAACAATGCGTAACAGTAGCACATGAGCTCCATAACAAGACACTCGGGAAAGTTATAGTTCAACAAATGGACATTTAACAGCTGTTGGGTGGAGTGAAGGCCATGAATTTGTTATTTTATCACAAATTATCTGATGACAAGCTTTAAGAGAGCATACTGCATGTCTCCTAATTCTGTTTTGAGAGCAAATTGCTGGTTTACTTCCTCCTTACAGAACCGTAGGATAGTTCTGGGTGGAAGGGACCTCAGGAGGTCTCTAGTCCAGCCTCCTATTTGAGAGGTAACATGAAGAACCTGCTTGGACCTACAGTTTATCACAGATGATTCAGTGAGAGTCTCGCAGTTGAATTCATGGGTCCCCCAAGAAAGACTAAGCAGCTGATAAGTGTGTGTGCAGCAGAGAACAAGGTTTGAAGACCTTGGCATTGAAAGGCCTTAAAATTTTTAGACTCCTGAAGTTGTGAGCATCTTCTTAATGGTTCAGCGGTTGCAGGGCCTTTCTTCTTTCTCTCCTAAAACAAAATTCAGCTTCTGTGCATAGGCTTTGAGTGAAGGTTACCCCCTGCCTAACTAGGTGCCCACAGCACTCACCTGCCTACCTCAGCCATAGAGGATAAGCTGGATACAGATATCTGAGCCATAGGAGCACCTGTGTAATTTAGCCATTGTGTGATTATCCAAACACACTATTTCTGTGTCTAAATCCAGAGCATTACCCCGCTTGGATTTTTATAGTTTCCTCCTACAGCTCTTCCTTAAAGAAAGGAAGTTTAAGCAAATATCAAGCTTCAAGAGTCAATTTTATATGGCTAATTAGGGTGCAAGATTAGCAATCTATCTTCCATGTTGAGCCCCTGTACCTGCGCTACTGGAGATCTCAGCTCCTTTGTAAGCATGGGAAAGAGTATCTCTATGGCCTCTATGATGTATAGGGTATAACTCTTCAGCCGTCTCTCTCGCATCAAAGTCTTTGGTCATAGTGTTAATAGAATAGGATCCTGATTTACTATATAGCATTTATAGCTTTGTTGATATCCTTGATGCTCATAGTAATTTGTCCAATAACCCAACACAGGGAAAGTGAATACAAATCACCTGCTCCCTGGGCAACAGATTTTAGCTGTTAGATATACAAGTTTTCACTGAACTTTGTTCTTACTGCAAAACGCTTCCAGGGCACCTCCTAGATTCATCACCTCTCAGGTGCATCTGAAAAAAGTGAAAAAAAATTACATAATGCCAGGTTATGTAAACCTGGAAAAACTAACAGTGAATTTATTAAACAACACCAGGAGTTATTTAAGAACCAAGTACAGGAGGGATTGTGGAACAGAAAATAGGATCTATTTTTTTTTCTGTTTCTGCACTACCATATCTTCCCATTTGTTTTCTCAGTTTGGATACCCCATATGTTTGCTGTTTCTGCATTTCTCATGTTTTCCTCCCTCAGTTCCCCTGCCATACCTCATTTACCTTTTCTCATTCTATGGGAGTCAATTTTGCCAAGCAGGCTTTCTCTGCCTACTGCATTTTATGATCATTTGTATGCAGAATGCAATCTATATGAATTAACTAGATCCTAAATATATATCAAATCCAACATGAGTTTTCAGGTTTGCAAAATTACATCCCTGCCTCGGCTGATCCATCTGTGAGTAGGTACCATATGTCAGTTACTTTACCAGGAAGCTTCAGGGGGATCCATTAGAGAGAGTCCACAGCATAATTAGAAAAAAGAACATTTGTTTTCCCAGCTGCCCTGTTTTCATCCTTCCTTTTCAAATGTTCTGCTGCTTTCAATTAAGCTCACCATAGATGCGCCAGCCTGGTGAACCTGGGGAACTAATTGCTTTAAAACTTAATATCTTGCTTGCAAGGTGGATTTTCTTCAGTTGGTTCAGCTGTAATCCCAAACTCCTCAAGGGATGCTGTCACGAAATACTGCCTCGCCGTGGGGCAGCTCTGCATTCTGCAGGTGAAACAGCACCGGTCACGTAAGGGTGAGCAGCTGAACCCCAGCAAACCCCAGCACTGGGGACGTGCCCTTTGGGAAGGACCCTGGCCGGCACCCCGGTGGCCACAGCTCCACCTCCAGCCCCACTGGTGTCCACCTGGGTGCTCGGCCGGACACAGGGGCAGAACCAGATCCCCATTCAGCTCTTGAACCACGTTGTATAGGCGATTGTCTCTCTCCGTCCTCCCCAGCCAGCTGTGATGCAGGGTATCGCAGGACCTAGAGCAGGGCTGCCCAGCGGTTCCTGCTGCCTCTGCCCAGACTGGTCACCCCTGCAGCGGTTCCCGTTTCCCAGCCTGCTCGGGGAGAGGCAGCGGATGCCATGCAGACATCCTGCCAGGGCACTGGGCTCTGTGTTCAGCCTCAGGATTAATATTTATCATCTGGTTTTCCTTCTTCTTCTTGTCCAAGGGGAGAAGCCTGTGCACAAAACGTTTTAATTCATTAGGGAGTTCTTTTGTTTTGGTCTGTCTTTTTAACCTTGTTTGTAGAGGTCACTCTCTGTTTACAGTAGAGAAAGCAAGGGCAAAATGTACATCTGCTTTAGGAGCACAAAGTGGTGGGGTTCACAGAGCTCATCTTGCAGCCTTGGCTGGTCTAAAACAAGCTCTGCTGCCTCCTTAGATGAATTTATCCTTAATATGGCAAGTGCCATATTGTTGTGAGACAGAATCAGACTTCTTGCCCTGAGGCTTGCCGTGCTCTGCTGGACACCTCGGTGCCAGCTCACAGTGTCTAGGAGATCGTCCCAAGCCATCGTGCCCCATTCACCTCTCCTCGGGAAACCCCAGCAGAGCTTGAAAGATGGTCTGGGGGGATCAGGTGTGTCCACACAGGCTGGAAATAACCAATGACACATGTAACCAGACGAGACTGCACTGTGGTGGCAACGGTGTGTCTCTACCCACCAGCCTCCCCCTACATGGTAGGGGACCACCTTCGTCTGTCCTCCTGGCAAGGGCGCAGCGGCGTGCAGTGAAGGCAAAGTGCAGCTGCATCAGGAGCATGCTGCTGATAGCTGCTCTTGCTTCCTCCGAAGGGCTTAGCCTCCAGCTAAGTTGGAGGTGAATTAGGTGTGGAGGAGGGTGAAGACAATTAAGTCTGGTGGAATGGGACAAGTAGCAGGCGTATGGGGCAGCTGTGCTGCTCAGCCAGAGCATCCCTCCTGGAGGGACTCAAACCATTAACCTCACCAGTTGTTCTGGCCTCCTCCTGCTGTTTCTTAGGTGAGATATCAGCATCCCAACAAGTCAAAGCACACTGTAGACAAATTTGTAATAAGCGCTTAAAGTTCGCCAGTCTGTCCACAAGCCATTCTTGTTTGGAAGCAATTTATCCTGCGTGTTCCCGCAGCTCAGGTGCATTAAAACATCCTCTGCTTTTCCCCGCTTCTCTCCTGCATCTGTTTTTCTGTCTGGTGCAGTTTGCACATCCCACCAGCTCTAGCATCTGTGACGTATTTTAGAGCAATTTCAAGTTCAGCATTGCTTTCCCAGGTCAGACTCTTACTGGAGAAAATCCCATACAAAGACGTGCCTTTATGCGTTGTGATCTCTGGAGAGCTTAGCAATGCAATAGATACAGAGTGCCAGGAGTGCCTTGTTTTATTTAATTAAAGTAGATGTGGTTTACCTGCCAATATGCAAGTTTTGTTCTTTTTCACTTCTTAGTGTAATTCGCTAATTATGGAGATCCACAAGGGAATAAGGGAGGAACAGTTACTTAGCCAAAAGGAGTCAATAGCTGCAACTGATTAATAATTATGGATGCTTACTAGCTACTTGATTTTCATGTATTGCCTGCAAGGATGTTAGAAATACTGAACAAAGGTTGATTTCATGGGATCTAACTGTTTAAAACTAGAGTAAGGATTTCGGGAGATGTCCCCCAGAAAACACCAGTGTGTACTAATGAGACAATGCCAGATTTCAGCTTATTTCTAGAACAGACACATTATGGTTGCTTGCTGCTTGTCCCAGGTTGCCAGAGCAGCTCTCACTGGGGAAAGCAGAGCAGGATGCCTCGCTCCCCTGTGCTCTCAATCGAGTTTCCTCATGCAATTTACAGCTGGATTACGTGGAGCCGGTGGAAATCAAATATTTATAAAATCATATTTAACTCATTACCTTGTGTTTCAGTTGAGAATTTTGGGACCAAACAGTAACTCTGACCTTGAAGAGGTTTGTCAATGCCTGGCAACACAATGCTGTGGGCCAGCAATGAGAGCAGTCAGTCGTAAGTAACTGAATTTCATCAGGGTGGTGTGTAAACATAATTAAAACTTCAGAGAGCTCAAATAAACATCAGACTCTAGATGAGTTAGTTCAGCTGGATGCGGCAAGAGAAATTAGCAAAGCTGACGTTGCTGTGTAGCGTCAGAAATTTGCCTGCTGTTGACCAAAGGGTTTGTGGTCTTGGCCAGGTTCGGGCGGTGCGAGGCTCCATGCTGGGTTTCCGCCAGCATGCGCCGCGTAAGTGAAGGCATGTGCTACCGTGTGGAGTGAGACCCTCATTTAACGTTAGCCTGGGTTTTATACATTGTGTCTTCCACTGGGGTGTTCTTAGAAGTGATGCTCAGTGTGGGTGTCACTCAAAGCCTCTGCTAAGGACAAGGGTCCACCAGGAGAAGTGCTTTTTTGAAGCCAAGCATACTGTACATTGAGCCGTTCTGAGAAAGGAAAGGGCATTTCATGGGTGTGTGATACCTGTGCCCCGATCTTCATGGCTTAAATGAGCTGGGAGCCTCTCCTGGTGTTTCAGAATAACTTCTCTTCATCCCACCCTTTGCATTTCTGTATTCCTCATTCCCGCTGTAGGCCATTGGACGCCCACACATGCCTGCCTACTGGTCTCTGGGATTTCATCTCTCCCGATGGGGTTATGGCAGCGTTGATGTTTTAAAGAAAACTGTCGATCGCATGCGCTACTATGATATCCCATATGTAAGTATGAATTTTTCACTGTGTATGCTAATTTTACAATCCAAAGTGAGATGAATAGAATTATAATAGAGGATTATCCTACAAAGAGAATTGTAGAATAAAAGGATGTTCATAATTTTATGTAGTGGTTTTGTATGTAATGTCTTTATAATGTTAAAAGAACATTTAAAGCAGGCTTTGAACATGAGGTTTAAGTGCTGCTGTTGGCTGCATAGCAGGCGATTCTGGTGTGGATTTACTGTTACGCAGTATAAGGTGCATTTTAAAATTAAATTACGGTACTTCTGATGCATATCACTGCCAAACAGTTGCTAAACTAGGACTTCTATATTTCCACTTTGTCCATTGCTACCACGTAAGTTTATAGGAGCCGAATCTGGCCTGACAATTATTTACAATTATTATAGCTGATCTGTTAGGTTTCATTTCATACTTTAGTTACCTTTTAGAATTGCAGTTGCATACATTCTGATTTTCTGTATCAAATACTTCAATCACAGAATCATAGAATAGTTTGGGTTGGAAGGGACCTTTAAAGGTCATCTAGTCCAATCCACCTGCAACAAGCAGGGACATCTTCAACTAGATCAGGTTGCTCAGAGCCCTGTCCAACCTGACCTTGAATGTTTCCAGGGATGGGGCATCTACCACCTCTCTGGGCAACCTGTTCCAGTGTTTCACCACCCTTGTCGTAAAAAATTTCTTCCTTATATCTAGTCTGAATCTACCCTCTTTTACTTTAAAACCATTACCCCTTGTCCTGTCGCAACAGGCCCTGCTAAAAAGTCTGTCCCCATCTTTCTTATAAGCCCCCTTGAAGTACTGAAAGGCTGCAATAAGGTCTCCCTGAAGCCTTCTCTTTTCCAGGCTGAATAACCCCAACTCTCTCAGCCTTTCTTCATAGGAGAGGTGTTCCCTCCCTCTGATCATTTTTGTGGCCCTCCTCTGGACCTGCTCCAACAGGTCCATGTCTTTCCTGTGCTGAGGGCTCCAGAGCTGGATGAAGTACTCATGTAATGTTTACTTTAAAAATGTTTAGGATGTCCAACATCTTGATATCGACTACATGGAACGTCGCCTGGACTTTACCTATGATAAAGTGAATTTTGCAGGTCTGCCAGACTACCTCCAACAGCTGAAGAAGGAAGGAATGCACAATGTCGTGATTCTGGTAAATTAATGCTGTTGCTAATTATTTCTCCATTTATAAGAACTATTTGCAGCATAGTGTTCATAGCAGTATGTAGGTGCTAACACATGCATGCTATTGTAGCAGATTTTCCATTTTTGTCATTTGTTGAGAAGAGCTGAAGAACAATTTCTCACAGATTTCATATTTAAATGTGTTGCATTTATCAGATATCTATGTACCAGCATCATCTCTATACCATAACATTAATTCTCTTTCACTTTTTCCCACTCGGTTATGAGAAATTTTGCCTCTGTTCAGGGCTGAGTTGAGATAGATTGCTGTCACACAATTCTTTTCCTGAAAAAAACAGACGAGTTTAATATGCACACAAAAATAGCTGAATAGTGGAAAAAATCTATTCGTAATCACTCTGGAAAACTAGTAACTACAATTCATTGCTTTATATTTACTTTTTATCTAAATTAATGTAAGACACATTTCTTTGCATGAAAATTTGTGGGAAATGTATGTTGAACCTGTAACCAAAATTGACATATGACCAAATGAATTAACTTGGGCAGAAGTGAAAATTGAAGTTTTCCATCTTCCCCCGTCAATTTTTCCACGAAAGTTTGCTGTTTCTCTCCAGCAAGTCCCCATACATGTCCTTGTGCCAAAATTACTTTTTGTCACAATAGCTAAGTGAGTGCCAATGGTGGCAAGGAAATTGGAGACCAATTAAATTGAAATTTAAATAAAAAATTAAATAAATTAAGACATTAATGAAAAGTCCTTGGTAGATGCATAAGACCTTGCTCTCCAGGGCCCCCCAGCAGCGCAGTGCTAGGAGGGCTGCGCTCCCCAGCGCAGGCTGGGGCAGTCGCCCCGCCTGGAAAGGATCGGGGTGGGAAGGCTCAGGAGTGCCAAGACCTGGAGCAGCGCACGCAGGGTGCGAAGCATCGCTGCAGAGAAGAGAGGCGTAATTTGTTCTCCATAACCACTAGGGAGAGGATAAGAAGAAAAGTGCTTTAAATTGCAACAGAAAAGATTTAAGGTAGACATTAGGATAAACCTGCCTGCCCACAAGGCAAGGCAAGCAGGGAGCTGGCTGCCCAGGGCCAGGGGTCCCTCCCAAGCGGGTGTTGCGAACAGGTCCGACAGATCCATCAGGCACGGCTCAGGCTGAGCTGAACCACAGGGGAAGGAGGAGGAGACAGTCCCACAGAGTCCCTCTCAGGGCTTTTTGCTGTAATTGCAGTCTTCTATTTTCCAGCCTAAATGGTCAGCTTACACCTTTCATTTGGCTACTATTCTTATTTACCTCAAACTGCCAGTCTCCCGTCCTTCTACTTTCTTTCTTGATATACTTATTCGAACAAGCATATTCTCCCTCAGCCTTTTTTGCTAGGCTAAACAAATGGAAGTATTTTATACTCTTTTTATTGCATGAGGCCTTCAGATGTCATTGTAGTAGTTCTCTCCTATATGTGCCCCAGTTTGAATGCATTTGCCTGTGTAGCAGATAACTGGAATTCACAGCACTCCAGATGATGCCCTCACAGTGTTTGGAGAATGGCAGAAATATTTCCTTCTTTCTGCTAAAAATTGTCTCATATGACAAAGCCCTGCATCACATTTACCTACATTTTACATATATATATACACGCTTGTAAGGAGACCAGTTAATCCAGCTGAATCGTAATGGACAGGCCACTAATGTTTGGGCCCTAACTTGATCCAGTCCTTTTAAAACAAGGGCCACGTTGCTCATCTTGTCATGGGGATCCTGTCAAAGGCTTGTGGGAAGAAAGACTGAATAGCAGAGTCCTAAATTGTGGGACAGTTCCTCTTTCACTTGTGGTGGTGTATCAGATGTTTACTGGAGTCAAGATAACCGAGACCTACTGCAATTTCCTCATCTAAAAATCACATTATCTTGTCAAATAGATAGATTAAGTCAGAAGTGCCTGCCTGTCCTTATTTTTTCCTCCACAATTTGTTGTAAAGTTTAGCATATGACTGAGGATGGACTAGTCAGCACCACAGATACCCATATCAGTATTTTCTTTTTAAAATCCAGTTATGAGCTTTGCTGTTCTTCAGTCTGCTGGGGTTTTTTTGGTAGTTTTGTTAAAAATACCTGCTCTGTAATTATTATTGGCTTAATCTTCACTTTGTTGTACTATAACTGCATTTGTTGCTAGGAATCTCAAACAAAACCATACAGAACAAGTGATCAATTACATATTGATAATGGAAATAGCAGCCTATATAGTGAGCGCTGTTTGCCAGCAATTTGTCCTCAAAGATACATTCCCATGAAGGTCCTAGTTCTTCTGCAGCTGTAAATCATGAGAAGCTCCAGGGTGCAGCAGTGAAAATAGTTTCCATCAGTGGAGGTCCAAGGCACAGAGTTTAAACAGTAACAGATTACTAAGTCACTCTGATGGAGAGCAACTTCAAGACAAAAATAGTCCAAAATTATCTGGATACATCATTGTAAATAACTAACCAGGTGGTAGATGAACATGTGCTGTCAGGACTGAGCGCTCTTTCCAACTATTAGGCAGTTTAGGCTCCCTGTATCCTGCTCTACACTGCTCTATACTGCTCTAAAAATTATCTAATCTTTTAGAGCTGTAACATTAAATGCCACCTGCCTATATATAGGTTTATCCCAAAAACGTTTGCAAGACATGAATGTATCAGCAAAATACCATGAGTTTGGGGTAGCTCTTCCCGTGAACACTCTTGTCCTTCAATAAATACATAGTAGTCACCTCTTTTTCATCAAAGTTAGGATGCCTCCAGTTTTTTGCACTTGCTGCTGGGTAAGAAGCTACAGACAAGCAGTCACGGTTTAGTGGGTGAGCTACGTTATCTTCTTACTTGTGAGTTTAACTTCAAGAACATTTTTAAAGCCCTTTCAGTTTCTCAGATGGCACATGCTAGAGCAGTGCAAGGAGCTGTTGCTATATAAATCTAAATTCAGCTGTTAGGCAGATGCAAGGAATGTAACAAAAAATCTTAATTCATGTAATGAGCTAATGGGAATCCAGATAGGAAGCCCTTCTTTCCTCCTTCCACTAACCTGTAACTAAGGACTATCTTCTGCTCTGTTTCTTTAGACAAGCTTTAGACAAAAGCTGACCCAGTTTGTCCTTCATTTTTTAAAAGCTAATGGGAAGTATAGGTTGCACTGGCAGTGAAGTTTTCTATTTTCACTTTATTACAGTTGCTGATATTTCTGTCAAACTGACTGTTAGCATTCTTTAATGATATAAAGCATTCCCATAAGTTGAGTCAGGAGCTGGGACAGTATGAAGGGTTTCATTCCCAAGTGACAGCAAAGCCATGCTAACTGCAATCAAGGCAAGTGTATCATAGAATCATAGAATCATTAAGGTTGGAAAAGCCCTCTAAGATCATCGAGTCCAACCGTCACCCCAACACCACCATGCCCACTAAACGATGTCCCTAAGCGTCTCATCTACACGTCTTTTAAATCCCTCCAGGGATGGTGACTCCACCACTCCCCTGGGCAGCCTGTTCCACGGCCTGACCACTCTTTCAGCAAAGAAGTTTTTCCTAGTGTCCAATCTAAACCTCCCTTGGCGCAACTTGAGGCCATTTCCTCTCGTCCTATCACTAGTTACTTGGCAGAAGAGACCAACCCCCACCTCGCTACAACCTCCTTCCAGGTAGTTGTAGAGCTCGATAAGGTCTCCCCTGAGCCTCCTCTTCTCCAGGTTAAACAGCCCCAGTTCCCTCAGCCGCTCCTCAGAAGACTTGTTCTCCAGACCCTTCACCAGCTTCATTGCCCTTCTCTGGACACTCTCCAGCACCTCAATGTCCTTCTTGTGGTGAGGGGCCCAAAACTGAACACAGTATTTGAGGTGGTGTAATCCAGTTTGATACCAAAAGAACAATTTTCTGTTTAGATTCCCTTTGGGTAGTGACAGTAATGAGTGAGTTGCCCAAGTGTAGATTGTTGCCTCCCTCATGATGATTTCAGGGAATGGGCTCTGATTGCAGTCACTTAGGGCCGTGTAAAACCTCTAGCAAATGGTTTTGGGGGAGGTGGGTTCAGTCTTCCTCATCTCAGACCACTATGGTCACAAGCAAAGTGCAGATCCTGACAGCCAGCAGTATTAACACTGGTAACCTGCCTGCGGACGGCACCCTGAACTCGGTTGTGCCATCACCGCTGGGGTGGCTGGTGCCTCACCATCAGGCGGTCCAGTCCCCATGCTTGCATCCAATACTGAGAGCCCTCCGTGCCTATGGGCACCTTGATAGTAGCATGGCTCCATTACCAGAGTCTCTAAATGCAGCCCTTCAGCACTTCTCTCTCCTGATCTCTTTCAGAGGCCACCTCCATTTAAGGGAAATTTTGTCTAAGAGTGTCAGTACTTGGTCATCATTACTGTGCTGTATAATATGTATGCTTCAACTGAGTCAGAACAAATATATTCTTTAGAAATAAAAAAACAAGTTCTAAAAGTAACAATGACTACAATGTAAAATGATATTATTACTGAAGAGGGGCTTTAATGAAAGACCTCGTATACCTTCCATTAAATCACACTATAAATAGAAACAGCTAGGAATGACATGAGTGACAAATTACAGTGACAAATAAAAGTCAATAGCGACATGCTTATGATTCAAAATTACACTTGATAGCTTTAATATTTTGAAGTCCAGCTCTATGAGCTATAGAGGCTAAAATTTCCAGAGATGAGTTTTTATGGATGTGCGTCAAAATCTATGTTTGGGGCCATAGGTGGAAGTGCGTTGGTCTGGATAAGTGCTGGGTGCCCCCAAGTCTCAGGGCAGTCAGCTGGATTTAAGGATCGTCAGCACCTCCTCTCCAAGAGCTGCTAAAAAGATGAGTTAGGGAAGATTTAACAGACATGATAAACATGAACTTCCTCCCCCACAAACAACCTGTGAATGCAGGGTTTTGTTCTCTTTAGGACGATACTAAACCTGCATAATATATTAGATTTATGCACTGGAATAACCTTTCAGCTGAAGGAAACCAGAAGTTTGGATTAGGAGTAGCTAATTAAGCTGACTTCTTCCAGTCTTCAAGTCCCTTGAGAGACATCTTTTCCACAATTATAAGATAATTATTGCAGATGGACAGTCTTCTCTTTTCCAAAGGTGAACTATTAATCAAGTTAAAAATGTAATGGACACTTACACTCTATATGGAGGTGACGCTGGAGCTAGATAGTTAAAGTCGAACAGAATTTTGCACTTAAGGTAGGGATTTAGCAGGGGCTTTTTTTCTCAGGCATGGAAGAATATACTTTCCTCACCAGGGCTATAGCTATCAGAGGGCTTACAGTAAGTAAATCAGGCAACTAATTTAGGTATTAAAATGAGCTTTAAAACATGCCTTTAAAGAAATTTACCATTTGGGATCAGATAGTTTTTGTTCTTAGGAAGTTTATTAGTTAGACTTCTATCACATTTTAATTGAAGTTCACTTAAATTATTGCACAAGCTATAAGTGAATGGAAGAATTGTTGCAGTGGTGTTTTTCTCCATTGTGTTTCATAACTGAAAGATTTTGCCTTAAGCAGAACCTGAGGGAATAACATTTTCTAAGAGAAAAATAAAGAATTCCCTTCTTATAAAATGGCTGCAATCTTCCTCTCTTCTAAATAACACAAAGCAGATAGCTGCTCCCAATTAGGGACATATTGCAAAGCGCACTTATCTCCTTTTAGTCCCAGTTGACTGCTGAGCAGAGTTGAATAGTACCTCTTCGCTCACTGGCATCTCAAAGTATTCCTAACTTTATTATTCACTGGCATGGTGGGCCACCATCTTCCCCAGGAGCAGATCAGGCTCACTTTCAATGAGCTTGGTGGCTACTGATGGCCGTCCTGAGGCAGAGAAGCTGGTGGTGTCAATGCCACTGGCAGCAATGGGAGGTGGTGACCACCCCAAGCAGTGAAAGGGGCAGCAAGAACGAACTATGGGGTGTAAAGTGCTGTGGTCTTCATGCCTGGGGAGCACAGAGACATATGGCCCTGCAGGCATGGATGAGTTGGGTTACTCTGCATCAGACTGGCATGAAACACCCTTGTCTGACATTGGATCTGAAGGGAGGATTAACAAGGTCCTTTTGAGATTGGATGTGTCCCAACTTCAAGCCCCTTGAGAAGTTTTAGTTATTCCAGCATTGACCTGCTGATGCTAAGGCAGCTGGAATGAGGATTGCCTTGGAGGAAACCCAGAGGTATCCAAGTGTGGGAATGCCCAGCGTGGCACCCTGCTCTGCCAAGCAGAGACCTCAGCAGCGGGGAAAGTAAAATCTAGTGCCTCTCTAAAATAATTTGAACATAGAATGTCTCATAAAAAAATAAACTCGAGGGTATTTAATAATTTCACATCACTTTTGCCTTGTATAAGAAATACTCACGACATATCTTTAATGACTTTTCCTAAATGATTATGTGCTCTCAACTCTTATTAAATTTTAATGCTGTTTTCTTCCAATATTATTGCAATCTGCATTAAGAACATCATCCAAATTTTTCTAAAATATACAAATAGAAAAGTAATTGTTACCTTTGGGATTTTGATAATGGAAGTGTAATCACTGTTTTCAGGACTCTTTCATAACTAAGGATGAAGAACCGGGCACTTACAGGCCTTATGATCTCGGAGAGGAAATGGGAGTCTGGGTGAACAACTCAGATGGTGTAACTCCTGCTGTTGGAAAGGTTGGTTTATTAAATTCTCTCATGCATTTGGTCTAATGCTGCTTCAAAGTGACAAAGCAGCTGTGTAACAAAAATGAGAAGATAACCAGGCGTTATACCTGTGAACTTTAGGCCTGGCCCCCCCGAGACTTGGTGTTTCCTGACTACACCATCCCCAGGACAGTTGAGTGGTGGACCCAGATGTGTCTGGAGTTTAAGGATGTCCTTGATTACGATGGGATCTGGATTGTATGTCTCATTACATTTTCCCTCCCTTGTTTTAAAAAAAGAAAATGAGGCTTTTGACGTGTGTCTTACTCTTTTTATTAAAGGATATGAATGAACGGTCTAATTTCTTAAGAGGCCAGTATCCTGGATGTGCTGTTAATGATATCAATAACCCTCCATACGTCCCTAGTAAGTAAAGTTTCCTTGACAATCTGTTTTATTTAATCCTGGATAGGCTATTTCTTAGAAAAAAATTCCATCCTCTCATTTTCCATCTTTCCCTGCCTGTTCTGTGCATTCAGTTACATATTTGTTCAAGACTCCATTGGCTCAGCTTTGGTGGAGTATCAAACATAAGCCACTTTCCTCTGTCATTGGGGCTGCCTTGTAACAGGACTAGAAAAATGGCCTTCCCTGCCATTCTCTGAGCAACTGATCTACATCAGAAAAAGGGCAAGATATCTATATACTGTAACTCGGCTACAGATTTATGGAAGGAGTAACCCTTCTGCCTTATCATCGTCACTGCTAGTCCCAGGGATGGGCAGTCTCTGCCTTTTCCACAAACCATGACAAGGAAGATGACATCTCCCTGATGCCTTAATTCAATATCTTTTCTTTCTCTTAGGAAAGAAATTTTCATTGCCTTACTAGAAATGGGCTAAAAATAAGTTTAAAAATGCCCAAGCCTATGGGAGACTGATAGGAATGGGAACACCTCTTCCAGTAGCCGAGCTAATGATATGCTCATTCTTCCCCAGGAAGCCATGAGTACTTACAATTAGTGCCAGTGGTCCTGGCAATTAATCCAGCCAACATTTCCCCAGGAAAGCCCGGCTGCCTCAGCAATGCTAATATGCAGCAGGAAGTTGATACATAAATGAGTTATGGACAGTGAAGTATTGGAAATGTCCCCTTTTTCCCTTCAGGCTGTTGTACTGTCATGTGAATTCTTAATTTTATTTATTAAATCTCATTTTTTTTCACTCTGAATACCAAAGAAACATAAACATATAAAATTTTCTTAAAAGATTATAAATTATTGAAATCAGAAGCAGAGTTTTTAATTATGATTTTGGTGTTTGCTCTCTTTGCGGGGAAACCGCTGATTGTCACTGTTGTATACTGGCCCTGTGGGTCTTGTCATTGACCAAAGCCCAGGAACTGACGAGACATTTCCACATTTGCCTTAAGTTACCTCCATTTCTGTCAGCATTCAGAGCTGCAAAAAAAGGTGTGAGACTTTGGGGAAGATGGCCAAAACAGCAGAGCTCCCTTTATCCTCACAAATAAGGGACTGAGGAATGGACCCATAAAGAGGCTTCTGAGCCATGAATCTGAGCTTTGCAACAACTAGCATTGAAGTCTGAGCCGTTATAGAGGAGTCAGAGACCTAGGTATTTACATGACATGTAAGGACAACGAGGGATGCTGAAGACAGGTGTGTTTTGACCCCAGTTTCTCTCTCTGACTTGCTCCTTCTCGTGCACATGTGCACCTACTTCTACGTGCGACTTACAGTGTTGGTCTTCCTCCTGCAGACAGGAGCCTAAGGCATTTTTTCCAAGATGTAGGAGATCTGTTTTCAACCAGTGTTTAAGGGCTTTCTTTTATGTTCCATTTTATGCCAACACTGTGCATGCCCTTGGCTGTCTAAGCCCTTGACTGGTATAGGTGTGAGGTGGGACCCAAGCTGCTTAGTCCAACAAGACATTAGGACCTTCCTGGGGTTGGCAGTGTTTTGGGGGCTCACTGTTGTCTTAGATGACTGAATCTGTGCAAGTCCCAGTCTCGGTACCTCAGGCTTTTTGTCAGTGTAGCCTTCAGCCTCCTGATCTAAATTATAATCACGATTACATGTAACTGTGGTTTGAACTTCTAAAAACAGATGTCCTTCAGATCAATTTTCTATAAAACACTTTATACTGAAGATTAATATGCAATTGTAAAATAATCAGTATTACTGAGGCAGAATAAAAAATACTCAGAATAAGAATGAAGCATGAAAATATGATTCTTGTGGCAGCATCTTCTTTCATATCCCACCTTAATTTTATGGGGCTGATAATTAAGTGCCATTGGGACATTAAGTGTGACTTTCCCCAGAACCTTAGTGTCTTCTTCAAAGCCGTATCCGTCAAAGTTACTTGGAAATTGCCTATAAATTAAGTTATTTCTGATGCAGATCAGCCACACTGGAGTCTTTGCGTCTAAAGATCCAAGCACAAGGATTCCAGCTGTGGTGGCACAGCAGAGCAAAGAGGCTAATGGGGTTTCAGGTACAGAGAAATGCACTTTGTAGTAATGAACTGCAAACACACAGTAAAGCGCGATTAGGCAGTAAGATTGCTTGCTCACGGAGAAATATTTACAATAGTGTGTCCACTTAATTAAGCATGCAAAAGAAGAATATTTAAGAATCTACCTTCTTTCTTTTTTTGAGAGGATTTTATAACATTTTCAACTCCATCTCTAAAAACAAATACACTGTATATACCAAACATCTGACCTGCCCAATTTCTGCTCAACTTCACATGGCATTTTCATGGAAGTTACCTGCAGAGGATGAGAATCGCATTTTCCGCACCAAATGGGCTTTGCCAGCACCTCCTTAATATGGGATCAAAGGTCAGGCAGTATGTGTGCAGCCAATTTGTGCCTCATATTGCTTCCCTTTGGCTCAGCTAAACCGGTGCTGTGCCAGCGACGTCAGGGCTACCCCTGACTATTAATGAAGGCAAAAGCTACCGTTGCCTCCACTGCCTGTGACCTGCTGATAGAAAGAGTTACTGGATAATCCATCCGCATGCGAATATACCCAATATAATCTGTCCTTGCTCTCTTCCGTGCAGCGTATCGGGCCATAGCAGATGACACCCTGTGGCCTGCTGGACCTCATGCTTTTTCCTCCCCTGCACACCTCCGACACTCCCCACCCATCGCTCGCAATGCTGCTTGGGGCCGTGCTGTCTTTTAGTCCTAGATGCCTCACGGGAAGAGAGGGGCCAGAGCTGAGCTTAGGTGTGAATTTTGCCATGATAGGGCAGAATCGTGCTGCCTACCTACATCTGCAGCTGAGTGATATGCAAACCGAGGTCTCATGATTTCACACAACCATACACGTTCCCTGGGCATCTGAATTTCTGATTTTGTTTTTTTTTTTCTTGCAACATTTTTGCTCTTTAGTAATATTTGTCACTATGTAAAAGAATATGTAGGTGTATTCTTAATTCAGCAATGCAGAAATTTTCTTTCTGGCTATTACTTACTGAATATACGATATCTGTGCAGATGTTTTGAATTATTGGACATAAAACTTGAAATTAATTAGCAGTGTTTACTCAGTCCTCTCACCCTTCTGAGGACGCATGTGCCTGTCTGCAAGCAGGTATTCATGGCTACACGCTAACCTCTAATCAGTGCAGGTCCGGCACTTCTTCAGCTTTTCCTTTTCCTAAATCCTTTGGTGTTTTCACCCCTATATGAGTAGAAATATGAAGAGATTTGAATTGTGATGTATATAATTTTACAGTGTTTTGTATCGTTTTAGCCATTTCTGATCATTCCCTGGCACAAAAGACATTGTGTCCTGACTCCAAGACTTACCTTGGAGAGCATTATAACACACACTCTCTCTTCGGCTGGTCACAGACAGCACCAACTTTCCAGTAAGTTTTCTAAGTATTTCTAAGCAGATTTCAGGTGATTGAAATACATTTTAAAAGCCGCTGATGTTACCTGGGAAATCTGTAATAGTATCTAATAAGAAACAGCCCCATGAGTCATTTTACTGTTTGTCATTTAGTAAGAAGTTTCAAGAAAAGAGAATCTTGGAAGAAGAAACAGAATCTTTTCCAATTTTACTTTTCTTAGCTAAAATCAGGATCTACGTGTAGGGCCTACCTCTTCAGCTGCTGCTTTTGTATAACTAGAGCAAGATGTTCCTATCCTCCGTTAGAGCTGCTCATGTGCAGCTGTTGCAGAAGCAGCCTTGTGTGTTGTCAGGGGAATTTTTCCATCCCTTCATTACCATGGCCCAAGCAGAGGAATTTCTATCGCTGCCTGCTCTCCCGGCTGCTTCTGGAGCTGCCTCTGGTTCCTGGCAGGCAGCATTTTGCATTTTGGCTTGGGGTTCAGTCGGTCTGGGAGGGCAGAGCTGCATTGCAGCACAGTTGCTGTCGGCTACTGTAAAACTCATTTTGCAGCTGGGAAGCACTCAAAACTAGCTTATGCAGGCACACTGTTGCTGTGAAGCTGGAGTGACAGTGGAAAGCTAGCTGGTGGATTAAATCAAATGGGCAAATCATGCCTTTTCTAGCAGAGATTGAGCTAAAACACGGATAAGTTTAATATCACAATGTAAGTGCCAAAACAGGGGTCCTTGTGCTGGCTTATTTCAGTATTTAGCACTCATTTTAAGCAGTTGTATTGTGATAGCATCCAGAGGACATGGCTATGTGAGTCTACTTACGCTGTTGATGCACTTGTATTTTATACACCAAGCCTGGGGGAAGGGAAGCCCTGGATAAAAGCCAGAAGCAGTTTGCCAGCTCTTGTGTGCCTGCCTGAGGAGCAGTCCAGCTTTCAAGAGAAGGAGCAGAAAGCCCTTGAACCCTGCATCTCTCTGGCCTCCCAGCCCAGCTAGGATGCATGGGACTTAGCATGGGCTAAGTTTTGGGCCCCTATGCCCCAATCTCAGCAAAGATCCTCCCATCACTGGTCTCTCCACCAGGATTTGTCCTCTGCACACTGGGGTCCACATAATCATACACTGTCTTGGTAACACTGTTCAAATAGAGACTTTGGATTTGCCTATCTTCTTGAGCTGTTTTTTTTTTGTTTTATTTGGGCTCTGTGCCAGCAAAGCCACTTGCCTGAGACAAACCCTGTGAATTTAGCAGGAAAAGTTCCGTGTGCCAGCACATCTGCCCCAGCCCCTTCAGCGTGCACACTGTCCTCACCGCACTAACCCGGACCAATGCTGTTAGGTTTTTGCACGGCTGCTTGCAGCCTCCCCCAAGGCTGTGAACCTTCCCCATTCCTGCAGCGCTTGCTTCCAGGGCTCCTTCCAAAAGAAACACATATTTTGCTCAGCCAAATGTAGAGAGTCCTTCAAGGCTGGAGAACACCAGCAAAAGCATAAGCAGAGGCTGGATTCGCTGCAAAGCTGGGAAACTTTGGTGAAGAATTTTTCATACATATTCATTTGGGTTTCTCAAATACATTTCTTTTCAAGGCTGGTTGTATACTCTTTCTGCATTCGCTCTTCACAAATAATACATTAAATTAAATTACTGACAGGAATATTTAGCAAATCAGCATCAATTGCAGGATATTGCCTGAAAACAAATGACAAGTTCATAATCGTATAAAAAACAATTCTAAGAATTATTCTAATGCAGCCAGAGAATAGGAAATGTGACCTATGTCAAATGGCTTGAATTTGGATACATGAACTAACAGCAATCAGCTTGTGCATAGCTTAATGCCAAGAGTTATTTGCACATGATATTTGTAAATAATTTCAATCAAAAAATACATTTGACAACATTAGGACCTGTTCAGCAATGGGTCACAATAGACTGAAATTTATTCAATAAATTACATGTTGCAAATTGTTTATGCAGCTCTGGGTCATAGTTGAGTTGATCCAATGTTGCCCTCATTATCACCTGCATTTGCAAATGGAGCCAAAGACTTGTTAGCTGCACAGCCAGAGGAGAGGACTCATACTCAGGACATCCATGAAATGGCTCCAAAATGCCATTTACACAAAGCACATGGAGTCTTGTGCAGTTATTGGGCACAGCAGTGCACCTACAACCCAGAACCAGTAGGTCCCGCATGGTTCAAGAATTGCACCTCTTGCTGCATATGGCCCATAAGGTTAATATGATTAGGCTTGCATGAAAAATGTTGAGTTTTTTGCTTCAGAAACAAATGTTGAAGCATTTTAAAGGCTCTGTGCCATTACAGAACCAATACCGAATATTGGCCATTACGCATACGGATGAAAGAGCTCTTGATCAAATCTCATTAAGGAAAGGGAGAAGGAGGTAGATGGTGAACAACATGATTAATATTTCACGCTAGGATTTCCCAGAGAATCTAAGTTGTGTTGCCCAAATCGTATTAAAGCAGAGCTGAATCTGAGTTCCTGTAATATATAATATTGCAATATGTAACTATGTACAGAGATTATCCTGTGTTGAGGAATTTTGAAACAGATTTGTTAATAAGGCATATTGCACTTCCTTGATTTTCTGGTGATGCAGCAAACTTATTTTCAAAAGGCAAGGAAAATTCATTACACCGCTAATTCTGTAATGAAACCTCATATATCAAACAATGACAGGAAACCAGAGGAAATACTACAAAGATGGGGTGACATTTTGAACAATTACATTTTTGCTTTCTATATTGATTATTTCTTTTTTTAAGATGTTCAGATATTGTTTTGGTGTTTTTGTTGGGTTTTTTTACTTTTAATTCCAGGATATTAGAACTTTATTTGCCAATATAACTCTCTAAATAAGTCCTATATTGAAAAAAACCCCATACAATACTGTTTTTTAGGAACCTGTAGGACACTAAATTAAATGTACTAATACAGAAAGGAAATTATGTTTCAATCTTTCACTTTGAGACACTGTTGAGAATAAAGGAAACACAAATTATTTTTTAGGAAGACTAAAAATACCTGAAACAAATTGTTTTGTGGGTCAGATAGATTTTAGTTTTTTTATTTTGGCCACTGAGTAAAACTTCCCATTATTTGCACTTTTGCAGCCACATTTTCACATGACTCGGGACCGCAATAATAATTGTTTTACGAATAACACCCCTTCAGATAAAATTGTACCTGAAAGCTCAGGTTGATCATATGACTCTTTTGGTTACCATTCCTGTTTTTAATGATCTTATTGCATTTCTTCGCAGTGTTGCCCAGCAGGCAACTGGAAAGCGAGCATTTGTTTTGAGTCGGTCTACATTTGTTGGCTGTGGGAAGCATGGGGGTCACTGGCTGGGTGACAACTTCTCTCAGTGGAAGGACATGCACCAGTCAATCATTGAAATCCTGGAATTCAACCTCTTTGGCATCCCCTACGTAAGTCCGGCGTCCTTCAGGCAGTTGCTGGCTCATACACAATATCAGTTTAAATTAACTCAGATGTTTTCTGAAATAAGCTGCTTGAGATGGCCAGCAGTATCGGCCTCCACAGCATAAGGAACTGCAGATTAAAAAAAGCTAAATGTCATCAATCTTGGCTGGCTGAAGAGAAACAAAAATAGCACTGCTAGATTCAGATTAAATCACTGTATGCCATCCAAACCCGATCTCTTTATATTATGTATTCTATCATTGAGGTCCCTCCATATATTTCTTTTTTGCAAGCTGGGCTGGAGAATTTGTAGTATTATTGAAATAAGATCAGATCTTCCACAGTGACGTTAATGCTCTAGGAGCCGGTACAATCTCAATCCTGGAAAAATTCGTATCATTATGCAGCATTGTTATAAAGTCATCAGAAATAGGTATCTCTTTCCAAAAATTATTTTTATTAACAAACTTCTGTAGTTTCTCATTTTTGGGCCTCAGTCACAATCACAAACACTTATCCAATTATTTTGTTTTTTCTTTAGATCGGTGCTGATGTCTGTGGGTTTAACTATAACACTACCTATGAACTCTGCTTGTGCTGGATGCAGCTTGGCTCCTTCTATCCATTTTCCAGAAACTACAATGCAGAGGGAAATACTGTAAGTAAAGTTACACAAAGGTGTAGTCTATAATTACAGTAACAATGACGGTGATTTGTATTACTTCCTCTGAAATTAACCTGCCATTCTCAGGTAAACTGGAGCGGCAGGTGGAAAGGAGTGCTGCACTGAGAGCAGGAATTACATGGTGAAGTGTAATTTTTTCCCACCCATAATATAAAGATGACATAGAAACGCTGAAAAATATCCGAAAGCTATGCAGAAATGTGTACCGCATACTTTGAATGACAAAAAATGGTTTTCCCACACTGTTGGTAAGATTCATCCCCTCCATCTTTTACCTTCTGAAGCCCAGCTATTATTTAAGAGCCAGTGAGTGTCAGCACATCTTCCTACTCCTTTGTTTACTTCAATTTTTGTTTCAGTATTTCTATAACTGAATAGGTATTGCAGGAAGGGGAGAGAGGGCATTATACACCATCCTTGCTGTTTAAAAGCAAGTTTCAGACAAATGCCACAGTTAGAAACTCCAGACAAACATGTGAGAACTCCAAGGAGAGCCAGCGATAGCGACAGCATTATCAGCCAAGAAGCAACAAAGACTAAAAAAGGCCAGTGAGCCCATTAGAAGGATGAAAAAGTGCAGTCTCAGTCTAGACCCATGCCCTGGCTTTGACTTATCATAAAGTCCTTTCAAGGCTTGTTGCAGATAGAAAGACGTATATCAGGTTGTTTCTAACTATGAACAGTTTGAAGGTCTTGCAGCCTTTGTAACTACACTGTGTTTATCGGCAATCGCAATGAAATGGTTCTGCTAGTTCAATAAATGTCTTTTTTTATGTTTTCTTCCGTAAACTGATCCGTGCAACGCTGGAGCTCAGATTATTAGCTAACCTTCAGTTTTCTTTGAAGTTGCATCATCAAAACGTGGCAGCATTTACACCCCCAGAAAGACCTCTGTCTTTGCATGAAAGTATGATGGACATTCAGCAACTGGGCAAATGCAGGAATAATAAGCTATAGTGCTATCATTAAGAGGGTCAGGAATTACCCTGTAGATCCCTGAGATATGCTGAGATATTTCTCTCTAGAAGAACAAATGTCTGTGAGGTGTTGGCTGCTGCTGTTGATAAATATTTTCTATTTACCTCTCCACTAAAATTAGAGGTACCTTATCTATATATGTGTTCTTGGCCCTTTGAGCATGCAAACGGGGTCTGTCCTACGTGAGTGGGTATTAATGACATATGCACAATTTAATAAGCAGGAGAAGAACAATGGGTCTACGTGTCGGGAACTGCAACTCAGTGTTGAGTGAATGACAGAAGTAACAGAAGATACATTTGGTTTTATTGGATTACTTAAATCCGTTTAAAACATTGTGTTCACTGAAAGAAATGAACAAGGCATTTTGGGTGACTCAGCATCACCTAAGAAGTCTGACTGTTTTTTTGTGAACTTAGGCAATATTTGTACAGTGTCAGAATACTGGTAAAAATATAGTGCAATTTTTGAAATAATAGATGGATGCTTGGGAGATCAGAGCCAGCAGGGAATATTATGAGTAACTAATTCTGATGTAAACAGAATGGAGAAATTTAACTTAAATATTGAGTTTCATTACTATTAAGTTAGTGTTAAAATAAAATCTTAAATATCCACTTTGCCTAATCCATTGGGGATTTCAAATGGTTTAATTAATACTTTTCTTGTCTGAAAAGCACTAGATAATATAAAAAGCTTTGTTACTTCTGTTCCTTTTATGTTTCATTATCCTTGGAATTCATCATACATTCTTCAATTTTAATGAGAAAACTGAGTATTATGGGAAAATTTTGTGAAGGAGGAAGGGAGCCGTGTGACTCGTTAGCTGGCTCAGTTCAGTGCTGGAGAAGGTCGGACAGGAGGAATTAAAGGAGATGTAACTCTTTC